GTTTAAGATTTTGAAAACCTCTTTTTGAAAATTTGTATCTTAAACTAGGCCTAGCTTAAGGGTTAGTTAAGAGTACCTTAAACTCGAATATAGTTTAAATATCTTAAACTAGAATTCGTTTAAGAGTTGGTAAACATCAAATAGATTGGCCTTAGACTAAGAATAGTTTAAGGATATTGTTGAATGAGGATGTTGAATGATGAATATACATGTTGAATGATTGAATAATGAATGTTGAAAATTGAATATTGATTATTGAATATATGAACTAAACATTATGTGCATGATATCAAATGATTTGATTATGAATTGAGATTCTGTTTATGTTAAATATAGTATGTATATATTTAATATTAATGTTGTAATCATTGTTAATATGGAAGTTGCCTTGTATAGGATTCCTTCCGTAGTTAGGATTCCTTTGTACTATATATACGAGGCTTAGCCCTCCATCATCAATATAGAAATTAATCATTCTTCATGGTATCGGAGCCATCGTTCCATTCTCTCTCTCGTCTCAACTAAGCGTTGCTGCAAAACCCTAGCAGCTCGCCTCCCTCTCTCTCGGCCGAACAGCTCACGACCGCCGGTCTCTCTTACCGGCGACCCTCGGCGGCTCACCCTCTCCCTCGGCGTCCCTCTCACTCTCGGCAGTCCCCTCTTCTCCTCAGCAGGCAACCATGTCCGAGAAAACGCCCGTCACCAGCGCACCATCATCTTCACCGACTCCCCACTTGGCCTTCACAACCATCTCCAACGTGAAGCTCCATGTTCCGATCCTTCTCAGTTTCTCCGAGCCCAACTACAAAAAGTGGAGTCGGCTCTTTCTTCTTCTCATCCGCCGGTTCTCTCTAGGTGATTTTCTCACCGGCAAGTCTACTCCGTCTAGCGCCGACGACTCCGAGTGGTTTCAACTCGACGCCCTCATTCAAGGATGGATCCTATCTACGGTGAATGACGGAGTTTGCGATCTTGTTCTCTTCACCACCAATTCGGCTTCGGAGTTATGGCAAACAATCTACAATCTTTTCCACGACAATAAGGCGGCCCGAGCCATGCAACTTGAGCACCAATTCCGCACTACAACGAAGGGCTCACTCTCCATGACCGTCTATAGCCAAACCCTACGGAATCTAGCCGACTGGTTGGACGACGTCGATGCCACCGTCTCCGAACAACAACTCGTCCTACAAGTCCTCCGTGGCCTTCCAGATGATCTACGAGGCCAAACTTCCTTTCTCCAGTACCAAACGCCGCCCCCGACTTTTCTTCAAACCCGCTCGGCACTACTTTTAATTGAACAACAACGAGCAGATTTGGGGGTTGGCGGCATCGGAGGAGACGGTGGGACAGCCATGTACGCGGGCAGTGGCGGCTCCAGCAGTGGCGGCCCTCGGTGCTACGGCAGCGCTGGAGGGGGCCGCGCAGATTCCAGCGGCGGGGGTAGTTCTGGACAGCCGCAGCACCACCGGCAGCGTGGTGGATAGCAGCGGGGTCGTGGTCGCGGCCGAAGCTCCGGGTCAAATGCACGTCACACCCTCGGGCAGCCCTCTGGACAGTTCACCCACTCGAATTCTACCCCGGGCCTTCTCGGTCCTCGCCCTAACCCCCACCCGCACAGCCCCTACCCTCAAGCCTACTTCACCACCCCCTACCCCTATGCCGGTGCACCCTACAGCCAAAACAACCCATCCCCAC